CCCCCCCCCCCCCCCCCCGGGTAAAAATGGAAATGATTTTAAGGTCAGTTGACTTCAATTTGCGCATGCTCAATATGCTAAGCTGAATTCTGACAGGGGATTTTACATTTGGAAGTTATGTTTGGTAAAAATCAGGTATAAACATCGTTTTTATTTCTTTTAAGACCGATATATTCACCTCCAATTCAGCAGAATAATTTTTCTAATTTTTATTGCAATTGAAAATGGCGATTGAGTCGAATTCAGCCGCGTTTGAACTTGGGTATTTGTCGTCCAATTCGCCCAACTCATCATCAAGCAAAGCACAAAATCAAATCAACAAAACAGTGTTGAAACACATGTCAGATCGTCACCCAAAACAGACTCTTGATACTCTGGAAGCCCTTCGACAATGTGAAGAACTATGCGATGTTGTGATAAAGGTTGGGTCGAAAACCATCGCGGCACACAGAGTGGTATTGGCTGCGTGTAGTCCTTATTTCAGAGCAATGTTTACAGGAGAAATGGCTGAAAGTCGACAAAGCGAAATTACTTTATTAGACGTGGACGAAAGTGCTATGGAAGTTCTTATCAACTTTTCATATACTGCGACAATAACTATCAGAGAAGATAACGTACAAGCTCTGCTACCGGCTGCTTGTTTGCTACAGTTAGGAGAAATACAAGAGATTTGTTGTGAATTTTTGAAACGACAACTCGACCCTTCGAATTGTCTTGGCATTAGAGCATTCGCTGATACACATTCTTGTCGAGATTTATTGCGAGTTGCCGACTTATTTGCCCAACATAACTTTCAGGAAGTGATAGACAGTGAAGAGTTCTTGTTGTTGCCCGTTGATCAACTGGTAGACATACTTTCTAGCGATGAACTTAATGTGAAATCAGAAGAACAAGTGTACTTTGCTGTAATTGGATGGATGAAACATAATATTAATGAAAGGAGAGCATATCTTCCCCAAATTCTTCAACATGTTCGGCTCCCTCTTCTTGGACCTAAGTTTTTAGTTGGTGTAGTAGGGGCTGATATTCACGTAAAAAGTGATGAAAGTTGTAGAGATTTAGTTGATGAAGCCAAAAATTATTTATTGTTACCAGAACAACGTCTGTTGATGCAGGGACCAAGAACTAGACCCAGAAAACCTACTAAATGCACAGAGGTGATATTTGCAGTGGGTGGATGGTGTAGTGGTGATGCAATAAGCAGTGTTGAGCGATATGATCCACAATCAGGAGATTGGAAAATGGTTGCAACTATGAGTAAACGGCGTTGTGGAGTTGGTGTTGCAGTATTAGATAATTTGTTATATGCAGTCGGTGGTCATGATGGTAGTAGTTACCTTAACAGTGTTGAACGATATGATCCAAAGACAAATCAATGGAGTAGTGATGTGACACCCACTAGTACATGCCGGACTAGCGTTGGAGTTGCTGTTCTGGATGGGTAAGTTTGGTGATTGCACCCTATAAAAAATTGTTTATTGCACCCTACTGTATCAAAATTCATAGTGTATAGAACTGAGACCAAACTTAAAGTCAGACATCTTGAGTCTACAATGTGGATGAAGTGATCGTCAAAGCCTCTTAGTCAGCAATGTATATATTGCTTTTTGTTATTCATTTTTGTAATGCCTTGTGATTTGATAACACTTTTTTCATCCAATGATGTTAGTAAAGAAATGAGTGATACTGTGTAGAGTGCTCTCACTAAATCCGTGAAACTAATACTAATTTTTAGCACTAAATAGTGATAACTAAACAATAGAAAACAAAGGACTCTGTATGAAATAGTACAAATTAGTATTAATTATTGTGCAAGGGCTTAGTGCATGTGCACTCTGTTGATAGAATGATGATATGGTATTTGTATTTAACAATTATTTGCCGAAGGCGAAGTGAATATTGGGGAATCTTCGAGCGGAGAGGTAAATATTCTCTGATATTCATTGAGGCTGTGGCAAATAATCATTTTAGTATAAATACACAGGTGATTCTTTCAAAAAAAAGAAGATAAAGATGTTTTTTCTGGTAACAGCAACAAAGCGGCTGGCTGCCATTTTGTATTATCATTGGAGGTGATTATCATGTGATAGTGTGAGTTTCTCGGCCAATCAGCGTGCAAGATTTTCAATAATCACCTGTGTATTTTTACTAAACCCAATTAACACATGCATCATAATTTAATTTATTTTATTTAAATGTAATTTCCCAGGATATTTGTTGGTCTCATCTTCTATGGTCTAAGTTTTGAACCAGACTGATTTTGCAATAATTAAGTATTTTTGGAATCGTGCAGACTGTACTGTGACATGAATGTCACATGACAATTAAGATATATTATCTACAACTTGTTTTAGGTTTATGTATGCAGTTGGTGGTCAAGATGGTGTATCCTGTCTAAATATTGTAGAGAAGTATGATCCAACAGAAAACCGTTGGTCAAGGGTTACACCCATGAGTACTAGGCGTCTAGGAGTAGGGGTATCTGTACTTGACATATACTTATATGCTATTGGTGGATCAGATGGTACATCTCCATTAAGTACTGTAGAAAGATATGACCCAAGTTCTAATGTGTGGACTGCAGTTTGCTCTATGGGTACTAGAAGAAAACACCTTGGGGCTGCTGTATTTCAAGATAAATTATATGTTGGTAAGTACTTTGGTTGAATGATTATAATTAAGTACTGTAATTATTATCAACCAATGCCATCGATCATCATCACCATTTAGGTGCTGAATAGACACTTTAATGATGTGTTGGCCATTTTGGAATTCAAGGCATAATGGGGTGTCCAGGGGTAGAGCAAATATAGCGAGCTAATATGAATCTCTAATATTTCTGCCAAACATGGCACAAAACTCTATATGTTGTATACCATCTTTTTTAAGTTTTACCCCACTGGATGCCTTGGGATGCAAGTTGGCCATTTTATAGTTGAATTAGTTCATTTCTAACTTCTACAAACATTGCCTTCTTACAGTACAATACACAAAATGCTGCCCAAAAAAAAAAAATTAAAATCTTCCAAAGTTCAAATTGGCAGAAACTTTACTGAAAGTCTCAAAGAAACCATCTGGAAATCCAATGATTTACCCAACACTAAAAATTGCTCCATGCATTTGTTTGTTAATAACTACTTGATTCATTTCTCTTGAGCCTAAAGCTTCTCTGAGGGACTTATATAAATTACTTGGGCTAGAATCGTTTTTTTTTTCCTCTCTTTCTCTTTTCTTCGAAATTTAGTTTCAGACTAGCAGATATGTTTTCACAAAATACAAAGAAAACTATGGAGCCATGTTTAATAGTGTCATAAAGATGACGTCACAGACTCGGTCAAAAATTGAAAAAATACTATAATTTCTTTATTATTATTAATATTTTTAAGGATTATCTCTGTAAAGTTTCAGCTGGATTAAAATTTGGACAATTTTTGTACTAGTCCCTCTTTTGTGTGCGATTTTAATTATAATCATAACTGGTATGTGCCTGGCAGATATAATTCAATGTAGAATTTCAATGTCAATATTTGATAGATTTTTGTTATTTTTTTTCTCTTCAGTTGGAGGTAGAGATGATGCTACAGAACTCAGTAGTGCTGAATCATATGACCCAAAAACAAACCAATGGACACCTGTTGTAGCCATGAACTCTAGACGGAGTGGGGTTGGACTGGCAGTAGTCAATGGCCAGCTACTAGCAGTAGGAGGATTTGATGGAACAACATATCTTAAAACTATAGAAATTTTTGACTCTGTATCAAATCAGTGGAAAATGTCTGGTGGAATGAACTACCGTAGACTTGGTGGTGGAGTAGGGGTCGTCAAGTTATCCCTTACTGATACTGTTGGTTGCTAAGGTTACCATCAGTACTATCATGGTATATATGTAGATTTCACAGTGATTATATTGTGGTTATGGACATGCTTTGTCATGGTAGAGTGATTTTATTTTACCAGTGAAACGAAATTTCTCAAAAACCATGGAAATAAAATAATTATTTCATGTGTTAAGCAATTTAACCACTCCTTTTGTCAAGAACTACTTCATGGAAGCCAAAAATATATTGATCAATAATCATGTACCATTTATTGCCACTAAAGTATTTACTTAAAGTTAGGAACCCATAAAAGGCTCTTATAATATACAGTCAGTACTATATGTTTCCCACTCATACAAAAACTGCTCTCTATTGAAAAAACATATTTACATGTAGCAATAGTAAAATTATAGAGTGCAAACAATTAATCCGTGAAACACTAATTACTAAATAGTACAAAATAGTGCTAATTAAACAATAGAAAACAATGGAATTTGCGTGCAATTGTGCTATAATTTCCATTCTGAATTAAAGCAAAAATATATTGTAATTCTTTTGGTTTCCTCAGTTGCGTAGCACAATCAAATTATTGGAGCAACATGTTACTACAAGATGACAAATGTCATACACAAGTACCAGAAAAAGTTTTACAATTTGTGCTTATTGTCAGGATTACATGTATTTGTTTTCTTATTATGACATATTTCTGTGTGAACACTCGAACCATAAACACTTCAAGGTTTTTTGAATATTTTTTGTATCATCCAAAAAGGGATTTTTACTGAGGTTCCAACTTTTTTCAAGCAATTCCAGAGTCTTGTGTTGTTGTTGCCATTAAAGTTTTATTTTATAACAGCTACCTTGTCAGTGAATGATATTTTTGTTTTATTTCTGTAAACTATAGAAATTTTTCACTTTGTGCCACAGTTTTGCATACTAACACATTTGAATATGTGATTAAGCAGTTCATAAGTTCACATAGAGTGAGCTTAAAATGAAACATTTACAGAATTTCCGCTGTTTGTTGTGATTGTATGGCACCTACATCCTTGACTCCTTTGTTTCTACAGAGTGCTGTGATTGGATAGTTATGAAAAAGGTGTTTATATTCAATTGTCCACACTGAAATATATGTATTTTAAAATATATTTTCCACAGATATTTCAGAGTTTATTGGGGTTTGTCATATGTGTTATCTTGTCTATTTGCTGGATGGATGACTATATCGTTGGAAAATGATAAAAAACATGGCTTGTATTATAAAATATCAAGTTAAAATTCAAAATCAAAATGTGTGTGAAGAAGGAGTAATTTTGTCTCCAGATTGAGGTTCATCAATCATGCGCCCACATTCCCCATAGATGCTCTCGCTTTCGGCACTCATTACCTTAACTTTCCCTTCTGAAAAAATCCCCCTGAACAATCAGAATTTGACTGAAAGACAATATTAATTTGTTTGTTTATGAAAGCAAAACAAAAGCTATTAAACAATACAATGTAAACTTTTCTCTAGCAAAAACACAATGCTCAGCATCACAGTAACACTGGTATTGAAATCGTCATCACCAACACCACTCCTTCATGGTTTTAACCATGAAAAGGCAAGATGTTGCTTGATATCGATAAAAAACTTTTTCATACACTCGTACTTCCTATGAATATTAATGGTCTATGGATATATATATATATATGTTCAAGGATAGGTCTTATTTCAGTTTTGTTTTGGAGGAAGGTCTTGGGGGGAGGGGGTGGGGGGGTGGTCATGACATTTTTGGCCAAGCCTAAGGGGAGGCCGGTCAGGAAATTTCATTCCTATATATTGCAATTTTCAAATTTGTTTCTTATTTTTTTGCAGTTTTTTTTTTCTTTTGGTTTGGTGTTTTGGGGGCTCACACAAAATGGCCAATTTTTGAACTTGGGTCCCCTTCGAAAAATTCTCTCGACCATATTGAAGCCTTAGCCATACCAATCTGTAGCCCTTATTTTTAGGGGGGGAAGGGGGTGGGTAGGGTAATTTTTTTAATGACTCCACCATCTTCCACAAAAAAATAATGTTGTTTTCATCGCCATAAGGCGGTGCTGAATATCTTTATAAATTATTCCATTCAGTCTTCCATTATTTAGGGGAAAACAAAGAGACCACAGACTGAAGGCGGTATGCAAATAGTTCATCGGGTCAGCGGTGTATCCAAGGAAGGCTGATAAACAAAAATCAAGTGTTTAAAAATAATTTACAGTAATATCAGAAGTAAAACATGGGCAAAGAACTTTTTGATTATGCTATAAAGGGTGATATTGAAAGCATCAGACAGTTATTTGACGATCCAGAAAGTATTTTTGTCACAGATCCGGCGACGGTGCTAAACAAACGAGATAAAGATGGCAAGTCGCCTATGGACATGGCGGCCATGTTGGGTCGAGCTGAAGTCATTCGAGAACTGATCGAACGAGGTGCTGATGTGAACAGTAGAACAAAAAAAGGTAGAAATCTCTTATTATTGTTTTCTGTAGTTTAATATCAAAGTGAATTATCACAATCTTTTTTTTATGACACATTTATAATCCGGGTTACGAGTAGAGAGCTGCTATGTACAGTATGCTTTCATCTGCTTTCATATTGATAAATCCGGACCTTGCTGGTTTTTTCTCACTACTTCTCCATTTGTTATACGTTATTACAGGTTATACAGCTTTGCACAGAGCTGCTTGTTGGAATCGAATGGATTGTTTGCGCATTCTCATTGCTAATGATGCTGACCTACAGTTGAGGAACATACACGGTGAACGAGCCAGGGAATCTGCAGCTCGATATAACAATACCTCATGTGTAGAGTTACTTGATATTGCTGGTGAGTGCTGTATTTTTTCTTATATTTAAGCGATTGTATGTCTTGTGCCTCTCTATCATACTGTGTACCTAAGATTTTACTTTGTGGGCTTTTTTTTCAATTTTGCCACCCTCCCTGCCTTCCCCTCCAAAAAAAATGTTTTACCCCATATATCTCTAATGTACCTGCTTCCAGCTGATCGGTGAATTTTTTTTCAGTAAATCACAGCGCATTTAGCAACTTTGAGTCCAACCCTTATTCCTAGGCTAACCCAACTTTTGAGCCTACAAGAAGCAGAAATATGGAAAGGAAGAACAATGAATGTTCAAAACAATTTCACTTGCTTTGGTCTTTCAAGTTCCAATAATGCTTAGGGCTGCATGGTCATTTTGTCCACTCCGAATGCTTTGTGCTTTGTGTTCACCACTCAGCTGGTTTTGTTGATTAGTATATATTTTTGCCCCATTATTATTTCAGAGGCCCAGAAAGAGCTAAAGCAACTAATAACTTCCACTAAAGAAATAATAGCTGATCCAGAAAAAAACATGGGCAGATTTACTAGGGATGACAAGGTAGATTCAATATTTTCATTTTGAACAAAAAGGAAAGAAAAAATGTCTGAGAAACAAAGGGAACAGGAAAGGAGACTGTAAAGGGAAGAATAGAAAAAATGAAAAATGAAATAAAGTAAGGAAAGGATCAGTGTGCTTCTAATTGTAGTCCACTGATTAATTCTCACACTTTTATGAAAGGGTAGTTAGCCACCATCAAAACTGGCTCTTTTCATAGCAAGTGGTCTATCAAAAATAGAGCACTAGTAGCCCAGCCAAATAGAGCACAAGATTTGTGATAGATCATGATTTTAGTAGGTTTAGACTTACATGTAACAGCTATGTTTTTTAATTGTATTTTTTAGCAAAGTGGTAATCGGTATTGTGATGAAAAAAATGAATGGCTCGAAGCAAATAGAAATTCATCAACACTAGAAGAGGTTTTAAAACAAAAGAAAGAATTTGATGAATTATTGCAACCAATACTAGACAAGCTTACAGGAGATACAGGTAAGCAAATCAGGGGCGTAACCAGGGATCTTGCAGGGGAGGTGCACAGGCAATGAATTGCAGAACCAAAAATTAAAAAAGGTAACCAAAAAAAAAAATTACAGAACCAAAAAAAAAGGAATAATGGGTGAGTGATTCTTAACAATACTACAATATGCAGATGGAAAGTGGTCTTCATTTAATCAAAAATCATTTACATGCAATTTTAAAGCAAAAGGAGGCGGATGAAACTTTGGTAAACCTCATATTTAATCACTACACCAGCAGGGATTATATCATCTCAGAATCACTGGTGGCTTGAAAAAGAATCTGTTTTATTTTGTAACATTAGTCACTGTAATATTTTACTAACATTTTTATTCAATGGTTTCAGAAAATGATGTTTCAAAAAATGGCAAGAAATAGCCTCCTATACCAGGCAAGACAAATAATTGAAACAATAGATTTTCATCAGCTGTACTTCTTGCTTGTGTATAAGGCTGGGTCCTTTTATTCAATGGTATCAAAAAA